GCTGAACAAGAGCTTGCGGCAATGAAACATACAGGACACGAATGCAAAGAGCAGCTGCAGACAGCAGGCTTAAATGTGATCGGCCACATCCTCCTGGAGGAGGAGCCGCAGAGGCCTGAAAGCATAAAGGCTCCCACCTTGCTTTGCAGAAACCTAAGATGGATGCCAGCACATGAAGCAGCACAAGCTCTGAGGAAAGGTAGGACCTTGACACCATGGGGCAACATATTTGTGTACCTGTCTTTGTGCTGGGAGCGCATCGCACAGCGCGCTCCCAGCACAAAGAACTGGGCGTCACTGAGAGCACAATGATCAGTCACTATACAGACCATCCCCTTGCTTTTTTTTTTCCTCTATGAATGGAGGAGAGAGATACACTGTATCTTTCTAACTCCTGGCATAGAGGGGGAAAAAAATGTTTGAAAAAAAAAGATAAATAAATATTTAAAAATAAAAGAAAAAATAAAGAAAAAATACCTAGAAAAAGGTTTGATCTAGTTCAGTGCCAGGGTAAGTGTTTGGGTCAAGTTCAAGGTCAAAAGGTCAGGGTCAAAGGTCAGGATTTAAAAAAACATTTGGTATCAGTGTCAGTGTGTTTTAGGTAAAAAGAAAAACAAAATGTGCACTATTGTTTCTGGGCTGTACTAGGGGTACAAACAACAAATAACATACAGTGAAGGAAATAAGTATTTGATCCCCTACTGATTTTTAACCACTTGCCGCCCTGCCACTGTAGAAATATGGCGGCAGGGCGGCACTGGCAGGCAAAACCACGTTTTAAAACATGTGTTTTGTAAACAGATAGGGGGCGTGCGTGAGGCGCGCCGCCGCCGCCCTATCTGTCCCGCCGATCACCGCCGCGGATGTCAGTTGCCGGGTCACAGCCGGTCCTTAGCGGCTGTTTCCCGGCGATTGGCGGTAAACAGTGACAGAGAGCATAGCTGCAGTAGCTGTGCTGTCTGTCACTTCCCTGTCAGCTCGAGGACGAGCTAATCGAGACAGAAGAGTTTCTCTCTCTCGATCAGCGGTGTCCCGTGCAGTACACACCCCCGCCCCCTTGTAAAACACTCCCCCTCACTCAGATAACCCTTCCCTGCAAAATAAATGTAACCCCTTCCTCCCCAGTGCCATTAGTACAGTGTCAGTGTTTTTTTTCGCCCCCATAAGTCACTGATCGCCGCCATAACTCGCTGATCACCGCCATTATTAGTATAAAAAAAAAAAAAACTAAAAATCCCAGTATCTTTCCCGCCATTTGTAAACGCTATAACTTTCACGTAAACCAATTCATTTACATGTATTGTTTTTTTTTTTGTTTAGCAAAGACATGTCGCAGAATGCATTTTGGCAGAAATTTATGACTAAATTTGATTTTTACATTTTTTTTTTTACTGGACATGTTTTATAGCAAAAAGTCCAAAATAGTTTTTTTTTTCCTCAAAATTGTCAGCCTTTTTTTTTTATAGCGCAAAAAATAAAAACCGCACAGGCGATCAAATACCACCAAAAGAAAGCTCAATTTGTGGGGAAAAAAAGGATGTAAATTTCATTTATGTACCGTATTGCATGACCGCGCAATTGTCCGTTAAACTAGCGCAGCACTGTATAGCAGAAAAATGGCGTAAATTGCAGTATTTATACCATAGTTTGTAGACGCTATAACTTCCACACAAAGCAATCAATATACACTCATTGGGATTTTTTTTACCAAAAACATGTAGCAGAATACATTTTGGCCTAAATTTATAACCAACTTTGAGTTTACTATATATTTTTAAATAGCTGAAAGTAAAAAATATTGTTTTTCTTCAAAATGTTTGGCCTTTTTTTGTTTATAGCGTGAAAAATAAAAATCGCACAGATGATCAAATACCACCAAAAGAAAGCTCTGTTTTGTGTGAAAAAAAGGACATAAATTTCGTTTGGGTGCAGCATTGCATCACTGTGCAATTATCAGTTGAATTAGTGCAGCGCCGAGTAGCAAAAAGAGGCGTGGTCATTAAGGGGGGTAAATCCTTTGGAGCTCAAGTGGTTAATCTTTGCCCACTCACAAAGAAATGATGAGTCTACAAATTGAATGTTAGGTGTATTGTAACTTCTGAGAGACAGAATAGCAACATAAAATTCAAAAGAAATGCATGTCTAACAAATTATGCAAATACTTATTTCGTTCACTGTATGTGGTATCGCTGTGATTTTCAAGAGCTGGAGAATTTATTTTGGGTTGTTCTTTGGTGGTAGGTTATGGTAGTAACAAGATACACACAGCTAAATTTAAAAAAGTGTTATTTTGTACTATTTTGGGCCAGTTTTCCTTTGATAATAAAATAAAATCAGGAGATATCCATTACCATTTATCAACAAATGAAAACCCAATTTGTCCTGAAAAAAACGAGGCATAATTCACCTGGATGTACAAAGTAGTTGTGATGATATGTACGGTTTTACTAACACATGTCAATGTTGAAAAATTGTGCTTAGGCATTTGTTTTACCCTTAGGCCTGAAGGGGTTAAGGTTCATCCTCAGCTCTGCCTAAAAGTGATGGAATATACTGTATATATATAGTGTGTGTGGTTTATTTTTTTGACACCTAGACCAAGTTTGGCAGCATTGGTGTGCGTCAGTTACCTGGACAATAACTCTAGGACTCAGCGGGTCTGACAGCCAGGAACACACACAATTGCACATTCCTAGTTCTCAGTTGGGAGCGTTCTCATGGTAAAGGGACATTTTACATTAGGACTTATAAAGTCATTGCAGTCACCAAAGGAATTAATATGATTGTTGAACAAAAGATTTTTCTACTGTTTGCAGAGGTTTATGGGCAGTTTTATAAATACTGTTGCCGGTTGTAGTGATATTGCAGATGTTTTTTGTGCCATGTGATTTGATCTGTAAATTGTCTAATTACAAAAGCTCCTGGTTTCTAACATCTTTTTGTTCTCTTCTCAGCCAAGTATGAGAATATGATTTATTGTGACACTGTCCCATGTTATGGGGACTGTTATTCTGAAAATGGATGTACATGTAGTGATTATACGCTCTGTATTCCAAATGTAAATACAACATGCCCCAATCCTCTCCTCTGCTGTCCAGAGGGCCTATACTACAACAAAGATCTATCCTGTTGCACATGTAAGTATTTTCATATCAGTTTAAAGTGTACTTTCTGAGTCTGATCATTGTAGGATGTCATTTTAAACAGATATTTCCTGCTGTGTCTTCTGCAGCTACTCCTATCTGTGTGGATGGATGTGCCACAGATGAAGAATGCAACCCATCAGGAGAGTGTCAATGTAATAACACCGCATACCCTGATCTGAGTAAGACTTTGTTCATTTTCTTTCCTTTGCAATGTCATCCCAGTCATTTCCCCATACAGAGAATGCACAGTATGTGTTTGGTGGGCATATTAGGAGTTTGTTCTTGCAGTGTATACATTGGGAGTCACATTCCCTAAGACATTGACAATATTACATGCTTTGCTCTGTCATGTGTTTGTTATTTTATTATATATGGAAGACGTGTAGATTAGTCATTAGATGGAGCACTTAGTGGCTTCGTACTATTATGGGATTGTAGCCGGCATGTCTGAAATGGATGAAATCAACACAAACAGCATTGGAGGTTAATTGGCCGCGGCCTCTTTATTACTGCTATAAATATGTGACCCCTTACATCATGTTATCAATAACCATTTATACTTACTATCAATAACATCAACCATTGATAACTACCCAGACACTACGACTCGGGGTGAAAATATATCCAAAGACAATGAAATCAGCTGTCCCCCTTTGTAGAAAGGTGACCAAACCACTTAATAATATGGCCGCGACAAGGGGGGGAGGGGAGCTGTCAGACAGGGGTCTAAGGACTGGCTCGGAGCCCCTTTTTATAGGGGGTTAAGCCCCTTCTGGAAGGTTCCAAAAGATCATCTGACCCTAGGTTAAAGGTCATGTGACCTTCCAGAATGTTCCCCAGGAGGGTCAGCTGACCTTTATCTCCAAGCAGATCACACCTGTGTCAACTGACAGGGAATGTTGCTGGACAGATTTCCCACAGCTGGACCAGGTGTGATCTGACCTCTTGTCCTCCCGGGTGCCTGAGGAGAAAGAAGGGGCAGGGGGGCCTTGAAACTACCCCACCTCAGCTGTCACAATCCCATGAGTGCAGGGGGGGGCTCCCCATTACGTCCATTTGCTGCTTAACCACTTGCCTACCAGGCACTTATACCCCCCTTATTTACCAGGCCAATTTTCAGCTTTCAGCGCTGCCGCATTTTGATTGACAATTGCGCGGTCATGCAACATTGTACCCATATGAAATTTTGATCATTTTTTTCTCACAAATAGAGCTTTCTTTTGGTGGTATTTAATCGCCGCTGGGCGCTTTACTTTTTGCGCTATAAATTAAAAAAGTGCAAAAAATTTTTAAAAAAAAAGTTTCTTTGTTTCTTTTATAAAATTTTTCAAACAGGTATTTTTTCTCCTTCACTGATGTGCATTGATGAGGCAGCACTGATGGGCACTGATAGGCGGCACTGATGGGCACTGATAGGCAGCACTAAAGGGCACTGATAGGCAGTACTAATGAGGTGGCACGGATAGGCGGCACTAATATGCAGCACTGATAGGCGGCACTGATAGGTGACACTTATGATGGGTACTGATAGACGGCACTGACTGGCATCACTGCTGGGCACTGACTGGCGGCACTGACTGGCACAACCCCTGGGCACTGACTGGTGGCACTGACTGGCAGCACTGCTGGGCTGCACTGGTGGGTGGCACTGGTGGGCAGCACTGGTGGGCAGCACTGGTGGGTGGGCACAGGTGGGTGGCACTGGTGGGCACAGGTGGGTGGACACAGGTGGGTGGCACTGCTGGGCACAGGTAGGTGGCACTTCTGGGCACAGGTAGGTGGCACTGCAGAGTGGCACAGGTGGGTGCACTGCTGGGCACAGGTGGGTGCACTGCTGGGCACGGGTGGGTGATCTGCTGGGCACGGGTGGGCGGAGCTAGTGGGCGCACTGCTGGGCACAGGTGGGCGGAACTTGCGGGTGGCACTGCTGGGCACCGATCATCAGGGCACTGATCATCAGTGCCCTGATGATCGGTGCCGATCCCCGCTCTGACAACTGCCGGTTCTCGGCAGTACTTTCCTCACGATCTGACAGCGTGAGGAAAGTGCAGCCGAGAACCGGCACTTGCATTTCCCTCTGATCAGCGTGTCATTGGACACCGCTGATCACGTGGTAAAAGGCCGCTGTGATTGGCCTTTTACCACATCACGTGATCAGCTGTGTCCGTAGGAGAGGAGAGCTGTGATCAGCTGTGTCCGTAGGAGAGCGCAGGAGAGCGCGTTCTGGGGGGACGTCATATGACGTCCACCCAGAACTGGCCGGCCGCAGTGCAGCCGTCATTCGGCTATCTGCGGTCGGCAGCTAGTTAAAGTACACATTCCATGACAATATTATGGGGACTGACATTGGTGACCACTTTCACAATGCTAGTTTCTGAATCACTGACCTGGAACAAGAATGCAGCAAATTACAATTGGAGAAAAGTTGGAGATCCTGATACCTATACAGTATTGTATAGTGTGACTGAAGCCAAAGCATCAGTGTGACAGCCAGAAACCAGCATGTTTAGACAGAGGAGCTCAGCAATGGAACCCACATAACCCTTAACAATTGTGAATTAGGATATCAGACACACAGGGGAGCATTGGTTTCAACAATGTGAGAAGGATCCGTAAAGAACAACCATTTTGTAGCACTGCAAATATTAAAGAAGAGTCAGTGATGTAATGAGAATATATGTCTGGGCATACATTACAATATCAGCATATACTGGTAGGATTAGTTACATCAGGCTGCTCACTTTTACATTGAAAAACTAGAACATCCCTTTAAAGTTGATCACATTATGCCTAACTGACATTTAGTTTGCTAAAGAAATATGTAACCTAAATAATTGACATACAAAAAAACCCTTTTTAACCGCCTCCCACCCCCCATATATGGTAATGACGGGCACAAGGCGGTTCTCTCGTTCTGGAAGGACGTCATGTAGCGTCCTCCTACTCTAACCGCGCATGCGCGGCTCCTGGGGCGTGCAGCATGGCGATCGGTGGTGCTCTGTGTTCCTTGGACACAGCGGATCAACGGAAAGAGACGAAGATGTCGGCTCGGTCATGTGATCAGCTGTGTCCAATCACAGCTGATCACATGTGAATAGGGAAATGTTTGTGGTCAGCATTTCTCTCCTCATGAGCTGTCACACTGACAGCTCGAGAGGAGAGGAGAGGAGAGCAGGTAATTGGCATTACTCAGAGGGGACATGTACACTGATCATCAGGTCACTGATGATTAGTGTGCCCTGATGATCATTGTAGCCCCAGCAGTGCCAGCTGTCAGTGTCCATCAATGCCACCTGCCAGTGCCCATCAATGCCACACTAATGCCACATATCAGTGCCTACCAGTGCACATCAATCAGGGCCCATCTGAGCTGCCTTTCAGTGTCACCTATCAGTGCCAGTCAGTGCCACCTATCAGTGCTGCCAATCAGTACCACCTATCAGTGCCAGTCAGTGCCACCTATCAGTGTGTATCAGTGCCCATCAGTGCTGCCTATCAGTGTCAGTCTATGCCACCTAACAGTGCCAGTCAGTGCCACCTATCAGTGCCATATATGAGTGCTGCCATTCAGTGCCCATCAGTGGGCACTGCCCATCAGTGCCACCTACTAGTGCCTCCTCATCAGTGCAGCCTATCAGTACCCATCACTGCAGCTGTCAGGGCAGGGCTGTGGAACGAACAGGTAGGCCTAGTGGCAGGGTAACGCACTGGCTGACGACAACCACCACCAACAGACTGAAGTCCCTCAGGGCGCGGAGTCTAAGTCCCAGGCTGCCCTTCACCAGGGCCCCTGATGGTGGGGATGGACTTGACGCAACCAGGGACCAGGTCGCGGCCCCCGAGACACCCCAGCTGCGGTAATGGCCGCCGCCAATGGCGTGTAGTTGGTGAGAATGACAATAGCGTAGTCAGACAAGCCGGGTCAATAACAACGGGACAAAACAGTACAGAACAGTAGACAGAGAATCACAGGTCACGGGCCGGGTTCAGCAACGGAAGGTCAGATCAAAGGGAAACACAGAGAATGGTCTTAGTCACAAGCCGAGTCAGAATACCAGAAGAGTCACGAGCGTATACACAGAGCTGTAGCAAGACAAAGACACAAGACACAAGTGCAAAGAGCATGTGCAGATCCCAGGCTTATATGTACTCAGCCACACCCCTCTGGGGGATGGACCTCAGAGACCTGAAGGCATAAAAGATTCCCATCATGCTCAGCAGAAATCCAAGATGGATGCTAGCACATGGAGTAACATAACCTCTGGGAAAAGGTAGGACCTTGACAGTACCTCCTCCTCAAGGGCCCCTCCCCCTCCGCGGCTCAACAAAAGGTTTCTGAGGAAAGCGGGTATAAAACGCGCGGAGGAGGGCAGGAGCATGGACATCCGCAGAAGGAACCCAGGAACGCTCCTCGGGACCATAACCGCGCCAATGAACCAGGAACTGTAATCGGTCGCGCACCAATCGAGAGTCCAGGATCCGGCTCACCTCATACTCCTCATGACCGTCAACCCGAATGGGACGGGGCCGAGGCAGAGAGGTAGTGAAGCGATTGCAGATCAGAGGTTTCAACAGTGATACATGAAAGATATTGGAGATCCGCATCCCAGGTGGAAGGGCAAGGGCATAGGCCACCGGATTCACCTTGCGGAGAATGCGAAAAGGACCGACAAAACGGGGAGCTAGTTTGGGTGTGGGCACCCGAAGATTGAGGTTACGAGTAGACAACCACACCCGATCGCCGACCTGGTATGAAGGAGCGGGCAACCGTCTGCGATCAGCCTGGAACTTCTGACGCTGAGCCGAGTCCCTCAAAGCCCTCTGGATCTGCCCCCATGAAGAACGCAGGGCAGCAAGATGGTTCTCCACAGCCGGAATGTCCTGTGGTGAGACCCTCTCAGGTAATACCGCGGGTTGGTACCCATAGTTGGCCATGAAGGGGGACATCCCGGAGGAGGAGTTGACCGCTGAGTTCCTGGCAAACTCAGCCCAAGGCAGGAGATCGGCCCAATCGTCCTGATGGTCCGAGATATAACACCGAAGGAATTGTTCTAAGGCCTGATTGGAACGCTCCGCAGCCCCATTGGACTGCGGGTGGTAGGCTGAAGAAAAGGAGAGACTAATGCCCAACTGGGAGCAGAAGGCGCGCCAGAATCTGGACACGAACTGACTCCCGCGGTCCGAGACAATCACCTTGGGCAACCCATGCAGGCGAAAAATCTCCCTGGAAAAGACCGTGGCCAGTTCTTGCGCTGTTGGTAATTTCCTGAGTGGAATACAATG